AACATTAATAGATCCCAAGAGATAGATTACAGTACAGTAACAATAGAGGACACAACACTCTGCTTACATGACATCAGTGGATATATCATTCAGACAAAAAAAATAAAACTGGGATTTAAATCACATGCTGGGGAGGGGAAAAAAGGGAGAATAATGAAGGAGATGAGCCAAACTCGGGTACATCATACACATATATGGAAATGTCATAATGATATCCCCTGTGCAATAAAAAGAATGTAAAATCTTAGAAAAATAAAACTATTTGCTAAAACAAACAAACAAACCCTACATGTTGGACCAAGTGGACCTAACAGATCATAACATACAATAGCTACACAATCCACATTCTTTTCAAATGCTCAAGGAATATTCTCCACAGCAGCTCATGTGTTTGGCAATAAAACAAGTCTTAACAGATTCAAAATACTGAAATAACATCAGGTATCTTTTCTGGCTAATATGGAATGAAGCTGGAAGTTAACAACAGGAGGAATTCTGTAAACAGTGGAAGTACATGGAAGTAAACCAAGATGCTCCTAAACAACAAATGAGTCATTGAAGAAATTAAAAGAGAAATTAAAAAGTCTCTTCAGACAATAAAATGGAAATACAATATACCAAAACTTATGGGATATAGCAAGAGAAGCTCTACAAGGGAATTTCATAGCAATAAACACATCATCAAAACAGTAGGAAGCTGGGCATGGTTGCACATGTCTGTAAATCCCAGCACTAGGTAGGCTGAGACAGAAGGATCGTAAGTTTGAGGCCAGCCTTGGCTACAATGAGTTTCAGGCCTGTGTAGCCACACTCTGGGGTTTGAACTGAGGGCCTTGTGCCACACCCCTAGTCCTTTTTGCTTTAGTTTATTTTTCATATAGGGTCTCACATTTTTGCTCCCAGCTGGCCTCAGGCTGTGATCCTCCCACTCTTTGTGGTGTCTTTCCTTCATAGGATGAGTTAGGAAGTGTCCCCACCTTATTTGGTATTTTGGAAGAATCTGGAGAGGATTGGTGTGAATTTTTCATTGAATGTTTGGTATAATTCGCCAGATGCTGTTATTTGGATGTGTGTTCCTCAGAGGGCATATGTAAAGGCTTGGTCTGCAGGGTGGTAGTTTTGAGAAGTTCTGTGGTCCTTTAAGAGATAGAACCTTAGGTCCTTCTGAAACATGCTTTCACAAGGGATTGTGAAACCTCATCTTTCCCTTCCCTCTGCTTCCTGGTTTGAGAGTGACCTCTTGCTCCCACCATAATGTGCAGCTGCCCTCCCCATAGGCCCAAACAGTGAATCCTCCCCATCTTGGACTTGAACCTCCAGAATCATGAGCCAAAATTAACCCTCTTTGCTGTATAAGTAGCCCATGTCAAGTATTTCATTGTAGTAATGCCATCTGGCTCATGGCTTTTATTTGTTACTTTTGATTACTGATTCTGTCTCCTTACTGGCTATAAGTCTGTTTACATTTTCTAATTCTTCATGGGTCACTCTTGACATGTTATTTGTTTCTTACAAATTTGCACATTTCATCTAGGTCGTTGAATTTGTGTACAATTATTAATAATCTCTTATAATCCTTTTTACTTCTGGAAAATTGATAGTTATGCCCACTTTCTGAATTTAGTAATTAGATTCTTTTTTCTCAGTCAGTGTAGGTAAGTTTGTCATAGTTTTAATCTATTTAAAGAACAACTTTTTTATTTCATTTTTCTGTATTCTCCTTTGGGTTTTTTGGTTTTTTGGGTTTTCTTTGTTTTTGCTGTACTGGGGTTTGAACTCAGGGCCTCACACTTGCTAGGCAGGTGCTCTACCACTTGGGCCATTCCACCAGCCCCTGTTCTCCATTTTCTTTATCCATACTCTAATCTTTATCTACTTTGTGCTATCTTTCAGGTTAGTTTATTGTTTTACTAGTTCATTAAGATATAAAGTTAGGCTGTAAATTTGAAAGCTCTTTTTAAATATGACTTTATTGCTATAAATGTGCTTCTTACCACTACTTTCATTGCATCCTATAAATTTTTTGTTTTTATTTCATTTGTCTCAAGATAGTTTCCTAATTTCCCTTGTGATTTCTTCTTTGACCCATTCAGGTTTAGGAATATATTATTTAATTTTTACATAATTGTAAATCTTGTTATTTTCCTTCAGTTAATTATTTCTAATTTCATTTCATTGTGATCTAAAAAAAAAGTCCTTTGTGTGATTTTAATCTTTCGGTATGTTAAGACTTTGATGTGAGCTGCTGGAGTGGCTCAAGTGGTAGAGTGCCTGCCTACCAAGCATGAGGCCCTGACTTAAGCCCCAGGACTACAGGGGCTGATCTTGAGCTTACAATCCTTCTGCCTCAGCTTCCCACGTGCTGAGTCTGTGAACATGCACCACCATACCTGGCAGTCTTTAGATCTAAAATGAGTTCTGGCTGGTGTTGTAGCTCAGTGGTAGAATACTTCCTAGCCTCTCTGTGTGTTTGTGTGTGTGTGTGTATAGGTTTAATCATCACTATACTTGGGTTTGAACTCAGCCTTGTGTTTGCTAGGCAAGCAAGCACTGTACCACTTGAGCCACACCCCAACTTTTTCTGTATGTTTTATAGCTTTTTTTGGTTGCTGTTACTACCTTCCTTTATGTTTACTTGACTTTTTTGTAGTGATACAATTCCTTTTTTCTTTTCATGCATATTCTATAGATAGCTTCCTTGGGGGTACCCATGAAGATTGCATATAACATCCTAAGGTTATAACAGTCTGTTTCAAGTTAACACCTTAACTTCAGCTGCATACAAAAATTCTTATTTCTATAATGTCCCTTTTATTTTTTGAGACTACAAACTACATAGATTTATAGTCATTTTATATATTTGTCCTTTATATCCCCTAGAAAATATAAAATTACAATCCAAAATTAGACTGGTTTTATATTTGTCCATGTTTTTGCCTTTGCAAGAAGTGTTTTTATCTTTGCAATGCATTACTACATAGCCTTCTTTCATTTTAAGGTGAAGGACTTTAGTGTTTCTTGTAAGGCTCATCTGTTGGTAATGAACTTCCTTAGTTTCTGTTTATCTGAGAATGTTTAAATTTTTCCCTCATTTCCAAAGGACAGTTTGTTATGTATAGAATTCTCAGGGTTTTGTTTTTTTTTTTTTCTGATCACTTTACATATATCCTTCTATTACCTTCTGGCCTGCAAGGTTTCTGCTCAAAAGTTGACTTATAATCTTACTGGGTATCATTTGTGTAAGACAAATTGCATTTCTCTTGCTGGTTTTAGGATTTTCTGATAGTTTTTTCAAGAGTTTTATCATAATGCATCTTGGGTCTCTGAGTTTATTTTACATGGAGTTCCTTGAGCTATTTGATTTGTAGGTTCCTGTGTCATTAAATTTTATACTTTTTTTTCCCCTTCAAATCTCTGCTTCTTTCTCTCTCCTTTCTCCTTGCATACCACTCAATGCATTTGTTGGTCACAAGTCCCTTAGGTTCTGTTCTTGTTTTTCTGTTCCTCAGACATGATAATTTCAATTGTACTGCCTTCCAAGTTCACAGATGCTTTCTTTTCCCTTCCCGTTCCTTTTCTTACTGTGTAGCCCAGACTGGTTTCAAACTCACAATTCTTCTGCCTCAGCCTCCTAAGTGAGTGCTGGGATTATAGTCAAGCACTACCATGCCCAGCTGAGTCTTTCTTCTGTCTATTCAAATCTCAGGGACTCATAATTTCTAGACAGCATTCTACCTCTTGAGCCACACCCTAATCCCCCCCTTTTTTGCTTTAGTTATTTCAGATAGGGTCTCACAGTTTTGCCCAGGATCAGCCTCAGATTGCAGTCCTCCTACCTATGGCCTCCCTGGTAGCTTGGATGATAAAAGCGTACCACCCACACCCAGCTCGTTGGTTGAGGTAGGGTCTCCTTAATGTGAAGTTTTAAAAGCGTACTATAACTTATCAAAATGACTATTTCTCCTTTAAAGAAATTACTTTCAGTATGTAAGGATGATCTGGCTGTGATATCTGTCACCACAGTGATAACTAGGGTTGATTTGGCTGATCTAGCTAGCTAGACAGGGTGTCTCCCTCCTCCCTCACCATTCCACGTGTGTCCTCCCCAAAGCTTTGTGTTCAGTTGGAAAGGAGGACCTTCTCCAACCAAAGAGGGTATATGAGTAGCTGTGCTGCCCTGCAACAAGGTCTCAGTAAATCACTTTCAGAGATTATATGTACAATTACCAAAAGATTTTTTGGAATATCTTCACCTTCAGAGCCTGTATCATATTCTTTTCTAGTTTTTTTTGTATCATTTTCTTTTCTAGTTTTGAGGGCTAGATTTGATTTTGGGAAGAAATGAAAAGTCATTTTGTTTGATGAACGACATGATTGAATTTTTGAGTTTTCAGTGAAGATCTTTTATTGCCACAATAAAGTAATTCTATCATAAGCACAGAAAAGATTTTGAGGAATAAGGTGTAAATAATGAGAAGTAACTATATTACCATCCTAAGGGAGTCTTTTGCCAATTACACTTAGTTGATATTTTAAGTTCTGATTTGGTGACACTTGTTTTAAAATCTCATTTTATACTCATGTAATATGTATCTGTTAATGGAAATTTCTAAATGTGCAAGTAAATCCTCATAAAAAGTGACTATAGACATATCTCTATAAGGGCACAGGAAACTACAGGACAGATACAGCCAAGATTCCTCTTGGTGGTTGGTAGAATGATCTGGAGTTGTGTTTACATCTATGTTTGTGATATGATAACTCTATTCTTTTATGAAGTTTGTGTTTTCTCTAGTTATGAATAATACATAGATTTTTAACTGAAATACATTTCAGTTTAATTGAATGCCTCATTTAACCATGTTATATGTTAAGTTTACCAAGTAATACAACTAGTTATATGCCTCACTTAACCATGTAAAATTACCCTTTCAAATACTGGCCAGTCATTATAAATGTTTATGAAATACTACAAAATAACTTTGGTATCTCAAATGAAGGAAAAAGAACTTGTGTGAAGAACTTGTAAGAAATACAGATGATTATTTATCAAACTTAATGATGGCTAAAAGCTACATTGAGGGGAAAAAAAATGATTTGGATGCAGCCATGAAGATAGCAAGAGAATTAAAATCAGCACCTTCTCTTAGGACATACTGTGACCTGACTCAGGTAATTTTCAGTAGTTCACAATGTGAATTAGATCTGCAGTAGCTTGCTTTATTACTTTGAAATGTGATATTTAGGACAAGAACAATTTCTGTTTTCAGATTACCCTAACTATCCAGAGGCACTCTTCAACTTAAAATAGAATTACATCTCAATAAACCTATCATAAGTAGTAAATATCACTAAGTCAAAAATGCATTTAATGCACTAACTTACTGAACATTATAGCTTAGCAACATAGTACATTGAGGAGTGTTGGTTGATTGCTCTCATGATCACAGGTTCCCTGCCCCCACCCAAAGTTGTGAGAGGGGATCAGACCACATATTGCTAGCCCAGGAAAAGACTCAAATTCAAAAATCACAGCATGATTTCTACTGAACATATACTGCTTTCACACCATTGTGAGGTTCAAAAATCATAAGATGAACTATTATAATTCAAGAACCATCTGTATCATCAATCTAGAATTCTTAGGTGTTTGAATTCTAAGACAAACATTATTAAATTTGTTTAACTTGTTATTACTTTTGCCACTTAGAAAAATAATAAGGGCAAGGAGGATGCCACTAAGGTGGAAGTTGATGTGTTAGTCAGCTTTCCACCACTATAATAAATTCCTGAGATAATCAACTTTAAAGAAACGAAGATTATTTTGACTCACAGTTTTGAGGATTTCAGCCCATGGTTGGTTGGCTCCTTTGCTTTGCCCTATGGTAGCACATGATGGTGGGAATCTGTGGAGGAACAAAACCACTGACCTAATGGCCAGGAAGCAAAAGAGAGAGGAAGGGGATGGGGTCCCACTGTCAGTGCCCTTCCAGGGCATTCCCCCAATGGCCTGAAACTCCCATTCCAACACCTCCCAACAGTACCATACTGGGTACTTTATCACATGAACCTTTGGGGGAGACACTTAAAATCCAAACTATAGCAAGATTTCTAGGACACCTAAATAAAAAGGAGGACAAATAAAGAGTGGAAAACTAAGTGACACTCTATTTTCTTCTCATAAACAATGTAGATATGGCGAAACTCTTTAATTAAAATTTCAAGATTCCATCCAGATTTTTCTGTCCCTCTCTCAGAATATGTGAGTCAGAAGACAAGTTGATAGATATCTCCTATCATCTAATCTTAGGAGGCAGAACTGAACAAAAATAGAAACATAGATAAGATAGTTCGGCAGGACAAGATTAACCATAGATTCTCTTTACTAATTTCTGCTTTATTAGTCTTTGAATCCTTCAGGGTCTCATTTCCCATAGATAATCAAATGTCTGTGCAGAACTGAGGTAGACAATTAGAAGCCATTAGTTTATCTTCTCTCTAAGGTCTTTAACTTTAAATGAAAGGTGAAGTATTTCACCATCTTAGTTGGCCTTGCCATCCTCCAGCTGTATTCTAAAACAATGTCATTTCCCACATATTACTTATAAGATATGGAAAGTGAAAAAGTGATAAAATTTGGTCTTCATTCTGATTTGTATAATTAAGAATGTGAGGCAATTTAAAAAAAAAAACACTTGAAGATAGCACCACAAGCACAAAATGAATCTGGTAAGAATTTTCTCTGATCAAATAGCTATATCACATTTATTAGCACTGGTGTCTGTTATCAGGTGTAAATATCTACAGAAGACCTCAATTAAACTCCCTTAGGGGAAAAAGTCATAAACATTGATTTGCATGCTTTTTGTCACGTGCCAAAATTAAATCTTAAATGTATTAAATAAATAAAAGAGAGCATTCCTTCTTAAAATCTTCCTCTTTCAGCAATATTTATGTTAAAAGAAAATTCATAAGTAAATAACAATTCCTTTAATCCTAGATTATCCGGACTTTGAAGTTAACATTTGAGAGTGAATTGTCACAAGTTAATTCTCTAAAACCAAGGAACCCTCCCAGGTGAATAAGTCATGATTCAGGTGACCACAGCAAGTATAAAAATGGACCCGAACCTAAATTTATTAAAATAGCAAGCAATTATAATTTGAAATTTTTTTGTCTTAAAGATTTGGCAAGGTAGCAGCCAAATTAAAATTGTAATTTATGATAAATTAGAAAGTTTAGATGTTTTCTTTAAAAGTCATTATTTTTATGTCAGCAAATGGTTTCTGTTTAGAGAAAGTAATAAACATTTATTTATATGTTTATGTTGTATTCTAGGTTGAATATGAATTGCAGTGAGATCATCTGCATGTTCAACAGTATGGGAAAGATTGAGTTTGAGGACTCAACAAAGTAAGTTTTATGAGAATGTCAGTATGCCAATAGTATCTGACAGTACTTATGTTATGTGAGACAGGTCAGTGCTTATTCAAAAGCTGAAAAATAATTGAAAGAGCTAAATAGTTAATCACTAACTTCTATGTGCAATATTTTTAAAGGACCTAGAAGGGATCAGTATGCAATGATATATATGTTTAAACCATCTTTGAAACTCATTTAATCAGCAAGTGTTGAACACTGATTTTATGCCAGAAACTAAAACCCTGAATATTGAGATAAATGTCAGAGAAATTACAATGAGTTGGACAGACATATAAAAGATAAAATGAATCTGGGCATGGTGGCACACACCTGAAATCCCAGCATTAAGGAGGATTACAAGTTTGAGGCCTGCTTGGGCTACATAGATAGACCCTGTCTCAAAACACACAAAAAAATAAGATGCATAATTGCTGTGGTAGTACACACAGAAATTAGCGGTGCTGCAAAGGAAGGGAATGATCAGTTCTTAGGACAACAGGAAATTGGAAAGAGGTAGGCATCACAGAAAAAATAGCATGCTACACATTATTCATGATAGCTAAGCAATGCAAACAGCCAAGATGCCCCACTACTGATGAATGGACTAAGAAAATGTGGCATTTATAGGCAAAGGAGTTTTTATTCATCCACAAAGAAGAATGAAATTTTGTCAATTGCAGGTAAATGGATGGAACTGGAGAACAACCTCTTAAGTGAAGTTAGCCAGGTTTAGAGGCCAAGAGCCACATGTTCTCTCTCTTATGTGGATTATAGACCTAATACAAATACAGCAATATTATGAAAAACAGATCATGCTAAGGGGAGATCACATATAAGGTGGGAAGAGAAGGAAGTTAAGAAGGTGAATATGGTTGATGTATTTTTTATATAAGAATGAATATATAATTTTTAAATCTGCTGAAACCACCATAAGAAAGGGAATAAGGTAGAAAGCCATATGAGACCTCAGTTTTATTACATTATAAAATTTCCAACTATATATCTAAAGTCTAAAACTGAGTTTGTAGAAAAGATAGAAAAATATGGAGTAGAGTGGATAAATAACTAATTAGCTGTGGATTTGTGGCTATTGAATAAACATCCCCAGGAATTTCCAAGTTAATAGTGACTGTTAGCCCAGTGGAAGTTTCTAATGATTTGCTCAGTGATTTATACCCTACATTGTTGCCTCTCTTTATTTTTTAGGTGGCAAATTAAAGGAAGAAATAGCCAGGAATGGTGGTGTACTAGGGGAGGCTAAGGCAGGAGGATCAAGAGTTCCAGGCCAGCCTGGGCTGCATAGTGAGACCCTGTCTCAAAACCACTCTAAAGCTAGCTGGCCATAATGGCATAAGCCTGCAGTCCTAGCACAGGCAGGAGTATCATGAGTTAGAGATCAGCCAAGTTTCAAGCCAACCTGGGCTATCTAGTGAGTGCCTGTGTCAAAAAAACAAAAGCCAACAAAAACCTAGAGCTTGCTTAGGCTTTGAATGGGCTTCTTTATGGGTATGATAGTGTTTTAAAGTTAGATTGGGCAATGGTTGTACAACTCTGTAAATTTACCAAAAAAATCATTGAATTTTATGGTATGTAAACTATATATCAATAAATCTGTTTAGAAATACCTCTGAGGCCTCTAGAGAACTTTAATCTTTTGTATGTGTCACAGTATCAACTGCCATGTGGGAAGGAAATAGCTTGAAGGTCAATATTAATGTAGCCTTACTTTATATTTTTAAACAGATGTTATCAAGAAAATGAAATTGGACAAAATGTTCAAAAGAAACATAATAATAAAAAGGAACTTTCTTATGATACATACTCATCACTAGAAAAGAAAAAGACTGATATCTCTGTCCAAACTAGTGAAGCATCTGCACCTCCTTTGCAACTGGAAACTGGCGATGAATATGTCGAGCCACAGAAAGAGATGGTTACAGTGATGTCCCCCAAAACCATTGCTGTGCTACCTCAAATGGGATCTAGCCCTGATGTGATAATTGAAGAAATTATTGAGGAAAACCTGGAATGTGAGAAGGGAATTTTTATCTATAATTAGGAATAATTGGTATCTTTTTGTTCCATATGCTTTAACAGAAAAATACTACCATTATAATCTTACACTTTATTATACTTGTAGTTAAAACCTGCTGATTCCATGTCCCTACTCTAACATTTTCCAAAGTTAGGTTTTTATTTTTAGTGAAATAGCTTACCTCTAAGGTACAAATTTAATATTTGGCTTAATTAGAGTATTTTACTTTTTCATTGTTCCACATTTAAACCTTGTATAATTGATAACAAACATAAATAAGAGATGTGATTTGTGGTAACAGTTTCATTACTTTGACCTTGAATTAAGAGCAGTTTCTCTAACAACATTGTCTGTTTTATTGGTTGACTGCAGAATGATATTTTGAATATCATTCAAAACAGTACAATCTGTTTTCCTTGCACTGTATTATTATCACTGATATTTTTAAAACTTAGGATAACCTTTCATGACTGTACTTACTGATACACAGGGGCTTGCCATTCTAGTATTTTGTCAATATAAGCATAGCTTTTTAGATATTAGCGTTTCACTGTCTGCAGTAACTAAATTAGTACAGTTGTCTTTATTTCTTATTTTGATGAAGCATGCTTCACAGATGATCTCATGGAGACTCGTAGATACCCAAAAGAGTTTCTTCAGAAAGAGCCATCTGTTCCTGTTGGATCCCAAGCAGGTACCATAACAACTGTCTGAGCTTGATGGAATGGATTTTGTTGTATGTGTGGTAACTCATATCTAGTAAACAAAATGCATTGTACTAACTAAAATCTCTTCCCTTTTAATGTTAAACATTTTGACATTTTCACGAAATTTATAACAATTCTCACAGCTGTAACCTCAGGCATATTTATCTTTGTACCCAATTCTCAGTATGGATATTATTTTTGTAGTCTATATTAGGTAGTTAAAATGATCCATTTGTTCATTTTCTGTCATGTATCTATTCTTGGCTGTATTCAACTCCATGCCTTCTAGTCTTTGTTCAAAAATTAAATATGTATTTTAAATATTCTTCTCACACCCTATCCCCAAACTCCTTCCCTTTTGTATTTTTATGCAATGATTATGCATTTTTGTGCAGATTATTTTTCTAACCTTAAAAAAACACAAAACATAGCATGCCATCTGGGCTGTTTTTGGCATTCCTTCTTTAACACTATACTTTGGAGATCTTTTTTTTTTTTCAGTAGAAACACTTGGCTTAATTATTCCTATATAGAGAAAATTTTCTTAGTCACCACCTTTCCCTACCCCACCTCCATCAAAACGCACACATTTCCCTAAAGGTTGCTCAGTACTTCAACTTTGCCTAGGCATTTTTGCACACTTCTCTAGCCTGATTTCTAAGACCTGAATTCACAGTGGCTAAGAGCTATATTGATTCTGTAAGCTATATAGATTGAATTAGCTGTTTTGAATTAGCTATCCTAGAATCTGAGTCATTATGAGATGGATTCTGATATTCAAATATGTTCATCAGTAAACTCTGAACTTTTATAATAAAGTGGAGTTACAGCATGTACTATAACTTGAGAATCTACCACAATGAACTATGATTCTATTTATAGAACAAAATACTGCAAGTTAGACAAAGTTCAGATTATTAAAGAATTTTTGAAGCTGGGTATATTATAGGGTACAAGCCTATAATCCCAGCACTCAGGAAGCTGAGGCAAAAGAATTGAGAGTTAGAGGCCAGCCTGGGTGCTACATAGTGAGAGTCTGTGTCAAAAACAAAAAAAGACAACAGCAAAAAGAATTCATTGTTGAAAGTGTTCCATTTTTGTTGGCAGTGTAGCTCAGTGGTAGAGCACTTGCGCATGCTAGGGGTCTATCCCTAGTATAGCGACAATAAAAGTAAGCAATCCTTGTCAGACATTTTGGGTTTAGACTCTTATGGGACTTAAGTATTTTACAATTTCATTGCCACAAGACACTCTTTTTAGAGAGTATTATAATTGTTCACCTTTTATGAATTCTTTCCTAGCTTATGTTTTTATAATGTGGTTTAAATATTGATTCCTATCCAGATTCTCCAGAGCTAGTTTTTGTAAGCCATGTAATACATCCTTGCCATTTCTACATCCGGAAGTATTCACAAATAAAAGATGTGACAGTATTGGAAAAGAAGGTGAATCAAATTTGCAATAAGAGTTTACACCTTGATCCTTCAGACATTTTGGAGCTAGGTAATAAAATATTATTTCATTTAAAATATCAAGTTTATTTAAACATTGTAATATTTTGCCAACCCACATAGACTTGCTATAACATAGATTTTTGCTTCAAGTTGAATAAGCATAAAAGTTTTAGAATTATTTCATATAAATTATTTAGATAATAGCTAAGAGTTAAAATTGAATATTAGCACATTTTTCGAGTGAGCTATACCCAAAGATTCTGTTACGGAGTGGAAGGAATTTCCTTTCAATTGCAAAACCTATGATAGGCCACCCCTGTCTCCAAAGTGATTCTTTGTGTATCACTTCAGTCTCCTGCTCTCCACATGTGTATGTTAGGTCTAGCATTGTCCACTTCAGTGAGATTTAGGAGGCCTTTGGCACCCATTCCTAGGGCCCCTTGGAGGATAGTTAATAAACACAATCTGTTTTAATTCTAAGGGTACGTAAATTTGTCCTGCTTTATGCTTTTGTTTCCTAATAACGTTGTTAACTGAGTTTGATTATTAAACTGTAATGTGATGAAACTGTGATTTCTTTGATTTATTAAAGGTGTACTTTTCTGAATGCCTATGTATAACTAATACCAAAGAAGTATATCTGTTTAGCTTATGATAGCTCTTTAAAGGGGTGCTTAACGCTGAGCTAATTTATGTAACATTTCAGAATATAAGAATACTAGACTCATCATATACTTCTGACAAAAATGAATGATTTAAAAACTTAAAAACATTAATTTAACTTTTTAATTTTTAGTATCTAAGAGGAAGGAAATGTAGAATTAAACTTAAGTTTTAAAATTGCAAACAATTCTTTAGGGGCACATATTAAATTTTTAAGAAGTCAGTTTAGATTCTAAGAAAACATTTAGATTTTAAAACATTCTAAGAAAGCCAAAACATCATCCTTTAAGTTGTTAATGATAATTGTTCGCAAGGTAATATAGTTGATTGAAATGCTTTTTTATTTCTATTTAGAGGAATTAGTGATAAGGAAAGAACTGTGATGATGCTTTATATGGGGAAGGGTATCCTTTGATCTGTGTGTACTTCAGTATGAGAAACAACAACATGACTTCAACAGGCTTCTACCTGTTTCAAGAAAGAATGGTTTTTATAGAATATATTTTAAAACAAAGAGAATACTGATTACATAGTCCATCAGAATAAGAGAAGGGTCACTGACAGTCTGAAGGGCAAACCAGTGTGCTAGTAGAACTTAAAGAGAATTTAAAGGGTACTCCATTGTGCCTTTCCACCATCCTGTTTCTATTGTACAAAAAGAGGGCATTATTTCCAATGCATGCCTTACTTATTAAGAGGATGTGCTTCAAGATTACTGGGGTTCTCTTGCTATGTCTTAGAAGTAGCCATGTGGCTTGAGCTACATTTGCAACCTCTGTCCCAGTTGGGCTAGAAAAGGGAATGACACCTTTCCTGTCATTATAAAGGGTCATGGACACCCTAGTGATAAAAGACAGGTTAACAAGAGAAAAGCATAACAAATGTACTGACATTCATATGTACAAAATACTTAATGCAAAATATGAAACTCAGAGGACCAGATGGTTGAAATTTAAATATCTGCTTCATAGAGGAAAAGGAAACAAGGGGAGATAGCAACAAGTTACTGCAAACAAAGAGTATCTTAGTATGTAGATAAAGTTTCCCAGGGAATCTCTGGAAGCTTCCTTCAGAAGAATAGATGAAAAGTGTGAGGGACTGAGATCAATCCCTAGTACCACAAAAGAAAAAAAGGAATGAAAAGCCTGTTTGAACAAGGTGTTGACTATTTTTAACGTCCTCTCCCTCTGGTGACTTATCTTTCCTGGTTATTGTACAAGATTCCTAAGGGAGAGTTTAAAGTAGGTTTGGGTTTTTTTCTTTTGTTCATTTACTGTGGGGGGTTTTTGTGGGGCTGTGTGTGTGTGTGTGTGTGTGTGTGTTCCATCTGGTCCCTCCATAAGGTTTTCCTTTATCTTCCCTTCTCTGAACAGACTGGATGATAATTCATTTGATTCTTTACTCTTACTCCCCTTCATCAATCATTGTAAACTTTAGCATGTATACGTATGCCCACACCTTCATGCAAAAGTACACAAGGCGAGAAGGTATTTACCAGTCTCTCTTCCGTTAGCTGCCTTTTTTTTTTTTTTTTTTTTTTTTTTTTTTGCAGAATGGGTTTTGAACTCAAGGCCTCACACTTGTGAGGCAGGAACTCTAACACTTGAGCCACGTCCCTTTTTACTTTAGTTTTTTTTTTTAAATAGGGTCTTTCATTTTTATCTGGGCCAGCCTGGACCATGCTTCTCCTGTTCATACCTCCCACATAACTGGGGGTATAGTCACATGACACCATATTCAGCTTATTTGTTGAAATGGGGTCTAACTAACTTTTTGCCCAGCCTGGCCTGAAATCATCTCTATCTCCACCTCCCAGATAGCTAGGATTATAGTTGTGAGTCACTGCACCCAGCCTTTGTGAGTTTCTTTATAGCAAGGCAGTCACGTTCACATGTTAAGGCAGTTCATAAAACATAGTCCCTCATTGAGTGACTATTAACTTAGTGTTCTAGGAGTTTTGTTTTGTTTTGTTTTGTTTTGTTTTGGTTGGCAGTACTGAAGTTTGAACTCAGGGCCTCCTCACACTTGCTAGGCTGGCACTCTTCCACTTGAGCCACTCCACAAGCTTAACTTAATGTTCTTTATGTTTTTATCTACTCATTTAGCTTGTAAGTTTCTGTGTCATAATATACTACTTTATATCCTTCCCATAGAAGTTGGCAAAGTACTATTAAGACTTCTTAGTTGGAAAACTAATGCGCATTATTTGTAAATTAGAGCTTTATTAGATGCCTTTCTTCATAAACATTGATAATTTGTCTTCCACATTATTTAGGTGCAAGAATATTTGTCAACAGTATTGAAAATGGAATGTGGTGTCGAGGAACTATCACTGAATTAATTCCAATAAAAAGTAAAAATATTAGAAAACCTTGTAGTCCAACCAAATTCTCAGTCCGTGAAGTTGCACTAATACAAGTATTCATGGTAGATTTTGGAAATTCTGAAGTCCTAATTGTCACAGGGTATGACACTTTGTAATTATTATATATTCCTGGCCCTCTTAGAAACATTTGTTGGAGTGCTAATTAAAGGATGAAGGAAATTAGAAGAGTAATTTGGCATTCTTAACTTCCAAGGCATACAATCTATTATTTTGATCTGTGTGATGCACTTTTCTAAATAAGTAAAATATTATCAGTTACTAATATTACTAAATGAGGAGCTTAGAAAGGAACTTTTTGATGCAAATTTAAAAATTCTTTTGTTGCTTCAAAGCAGAGAATAATGCACAGAGCTGATTCTTTTGAATAAAGTGGTACAGTCAGCTTCAGAGTGATTAGGTAATAATTTGAATCGTATTGAAATATGTCTCACCCTAGGTCTTCTAGGAAAAAGAACTGAAATGGTTCTGTACTAAGGACCAGTACTGTCTACAGTGTGGCTACTTTATTAAATAGTCATAGCTTCATAAGTAAATCTGTATTTGAGAGAGAAGGTCATGATTCTCTTTAGGTGATTATCCTCTTTAAGCTGAATGAGTATTTACAAGTTCAAATAAAGGTAGCTGAGATTTAATTCTATGTATAAAAATAGCAACTGTGCTTCCACATACTAAATTAAACCTATATAGTAAGAAAGTATGAGTTTGGAATACAACTTTCTAAGAGATTTAGCTTAAGGAGGTTATCCTTAGAAATGCAGGCTGTTTAAAGGAAAAAGCATTTTCAAAGGATGAAGCATTATTTTCAATGACTGTTACTTGAACTCCTCCTAGAGTTGGTGACACTTGCGTGAGGCCAGAGCACGTCGCTGAGCAGCATATTGCACTGAATGATCTATGTCTGGTTCTAAGGAAGTCTGAACCATATATTGAAGAGTTGTTGAAAAACATCCCACCATTAGCCCACCCATGCTCCTTGAAAGACATTGTTCCACATAATTCAGTAAGTGAGATTTGAATGACTTTTTCTTCAGAGGCTACATTCCAGTTTTAACTGTATATTGCCAATGACATTGCTGAGTATAGGTTCAAGGAGTCAGTTCTTATTAAATACATTTTACATCATAAGCTATTAGTTCCAACTAAAGAGGAAATGAAATTTAGCTTCCATAATTGAAAGTACTCTTTTTTTGCTGGTACCGGAATTGAACTCAGGGCCTCATGCTTGCTAGGCAGGTGCTCTACCACTTGAGCCATTCCACCAGCCCTTTTTTTGTGTTGGGTGTTTTCAAAATAGGGTCTCATGAACTATTTGCCTAGGTTGGCTTAGCACCGAGATCCTCCTTATCTCTGCCTCCCAAATAGATAAGATTACAGGCTTGAACCACTGGTGCCCAGCTCAGAATTGAAAATATTCTTAATTGGAAATTGAGTTAAATAAGCATATATGAACAAATGATAGGTGAAATATCCAAGTAAACTACTTACCTTTTGTAGTCAATTATATAGAGAGAAATAAGTTTATGATATGATGTGTATTTCTATACATTATTTCCTATTTTCATGATACTTTGTTCATTATTTATGGCCCATATGGCATTCTTTTTTTAATTTACTTATGAATATCTGTTCCCCAAAAAGGCTATATACTCCTAGGAGACTGGAATTGTATATAACAATATATGTTAGGCAGTTCTATTGTTATGAGGTCTGGGAAAACAGGAGTCTGTGTCTCTGCTCATTATTGTATTCCAGCACTTAGCGGATCTCTCACTTAGTAGCCACTCAAGTGTGTATGTGTGTATGTGTGTGTATGTAGGGGGGCAGTACTTGGGTTTGTACTCAAGGCCTTGTGCTTGCTGGGCAGGCACTATGCCACTTGAGCCACTTCACCAGTCCTGCCATTCAACACATATTTGAAAGAATGAATAAATTAATAAAAAAGTTAAAGAAGAACATGGAAATATTAACATTGGTGTTTTCCTCAAGATTGTGACATTGTTTTGTTGTTAATTCTCTTTTATTCCTTTTGCATCTTTTTGGGGGAGGTGGTGCCAGGATTTGAATTCAGGGTCTCATATTTGCTAGGCAGGTAGGTGCTCTGCTACTAGAACCACTGAACCACTCTGCCAACCTTTTTTGTGTCAAGTATTTTTGAAATAGGCTCTCAATTTTTGCCTGAGCTAGCCTTGAACCACTTGCTTCCCAAGTAGCTATGATTACAGATGTGAGCCACCAGGCACTGGTGTAAATTTTTTTTATTTTGTTTTATTTTGTTTTTTGAGACAAGGGTCTCGCTATGTAGCTCAGGCTGGTCTCAAACTCAGAATCCTCCTGACTTTGGGATTATAGGTATGTGTTTGTTTGTTTGTTTGTTTGTTTTAAGGAATTTTTGGTTTCGATCCTTAAAATTTGCAATTAGGTATGGATACTTAAATGTTTAAAGATGAACTTAAAACTTTTTCTAGTGGGTGAACATTTTCATTATTTAAGTAGCATATATCTCATATAGTGTTAACAGTAGAGCCTAGATTAATTGATGATTATAAATATTGTACTACAGGCTTACATTATACATTCAAAATTACCTTTTGACTTTTCATCATTTAAGGAGAAATTAATGTGGCATACTTTTTTAAAATCATTATACATTTATATTAATATTTAAAATTGAAAGTGCTTAAAGTATCTTAAGAATATATTTATAAAATCAAAGTATGCAACATTGTATATTTGTAAAGACTGCCTTTGGGCTTATATCCTCAAAAAAAATTTTTTTTCGTGTTTTGAGAAAGGGTCCTACTGTCTACTCCAGGCTAGCCTGGGGTTATAGGCATGTCTGCCACACCTGGCTTCAACTGTATCTTAATGTGTGTGGTTGGTTCATTGTCTTTGCTCAGAGTTGCAGACTCATTAAGCTACATCCAGATACTAAAATATTACAGCTAATTACAATTACTAATTCCTTTGGGACTTCACTTTTTTCCAACAGACTGAAGGCTGGGAAGAGGAAGCTAAAGTAGAATTTTTGAAAATGGTAAATAACAAGGCTGTTTTAATGAAAGTGTTTAGAGAAGAAGATGATGTGCTTATTGTAGATCTGCAGAAACCACCAACAAATAAAATAAGCAGTGATATGCCTGTGTCCCTTAGAGATGCATTAGTTTTTATGGAACTAGCAAGGTAAGTAACTTGTTAAAATTTAAATATTCTTCAAAAATTATGACTATAAATAGGAATAGCAGATTTTACCTTTAAAAACTACGAGCTCTAAAGTGAATCTCAACATACCCTTAGAGGTTAAAGATATTGCTGTCAGAATTTTCTAAGTACAGTTGTTTGTGATAACTTCAGTTAATTTGGTTTGAGGGAAGAGAAAATTTAAGGTAGCCTAAAATAGAAAATAGGTATAGATACTGAGCATTTTTTGTACTCTTGGGAACTTCACAAGCAGAAATTATGCTGTAACTGCTCCTAACTTAAGTTATCTAGCCTTTGGAATGATTTCATGATCACTAATCTATATTTAATGTCTGAATCTAGAAGTACTTAAAGTCTCCTTTTTCCTCCTTTCCAATGAGCAAACATTAAGATGACTTAAGTAACTATAGAGGTAATGAAGATCCTAACTTCACTGACTCTAGAAATGACCCAAGTAGTTTCCATTCTACAAAATAAAAATAGTGTTGGGATTAGAAAGGGCCCCAGAGATCCCTCAGCTGGCATCACTGAGCACTAACCACAGACCACAGCTGTTAATACAGTCAATCAAAAGTGAGAAGAGAAACAACAATCCCAGTTCTCATGTCCTCATGCAAATTCGAAGGCTAATTACCAAGCTCTTATTCAACTTAGTTTGATAACTGGAGATAATACTAAGAAAATACAAATGTAGTAAGTTTGAGGAGAGAATTTGAAAAGAGAATATTTTTGGTAAATAAACTAAGATGTATAGAAGCCCTTTTCTTCAGGTCAAGTTACTGAGAGAAGAGAGATTTCCAGAAAATGGCTTTTGCTTATTATGCTTTTAATTAGGTTTCGGTCACAATCACCAAGAAGTCACACTGAAAAAAATATGACTCTACACTATCATCCACCTATTTTGCCTAAAGAAATGACAGATGTTTCCGTTATGGTTTGTCATATAAATAGTCCTGCAGATTTCTATCTTCAGTTGGTAAGTATATGATGTTCCTTTGAATTTTAAAAAAAACTTTGTCGAATGTATAATTGGAATAAATGCCCAGTGTGAATAATAGTTAGAACAAATAAACCACTGTCAACCTTCCATTCATTTAAATTTCTTGGGAGCTGCAACTTTAAAGGAGAAGTCCACAGGATTCACAACAAACCGAAAGAATCTTCATACTGCAAGTTAGTGAAATAATGGAAAGAACAATGACTTAATATATAAGTGTTTCCTTGCTCCCTGCTGAAATCTAGGGACTAGAAACACACACAGAACTAACAAATCAAAATTTAATGGTAAACCTTCTTCTGACCATGAACATATGACAATTTACTTATTACTAAGTTTTCTGAATTTGAACACCAAAATAGATTAAAGGCTTTTTCACATTAAACTTTGGATATATAACTGATACATTTATTTAAATGGCTAATAACAATAGTTAGCTCATCTGTTTTCATCTCTCAGTGTTTTATATGAACTTATTTATCATGAAGACTGGAAGGCTTTATGTGAATTAACACCCTAATCTTTACAAAAATCCTGTGAAAAAGATGGTACTGTCTCCATTTGGATGTGCAGAGTCTAACCATCTTCTCTGAGGTCATGCAGCTCTGAAAGTATTGAACTGGGCCATATAACTTTAGAGCTGCACCACACTTTCTGGATCCCTGTATGATTTGAGGAAGCTGCTGCTAAATTAGGGCCTACACTTCTCCCCTTTTCACCTTCCTCCCTGGCCCCTTTTCCCTCTCTCTCTCCAATGGCAGATACTAGAGATTGAACTCAGGGCCTCACACTTGCTAGGCAAGTTCTCTACTACTTCAGTCATGCCCCAGTCATTTTGCTTTTAGTCTGTTTTTCAAATAGTGTCTCATACTTTTGCTCAGACTGGTCTCCACCTGCGGTCCTCCTATCTCCACCTCCTAAGTAGTTGGGATTACAGGCATGTACCACCACTCCTAGCCTCTTCCTTCCTGTCTTTTTTATTCTGGTAAAATATACATAAATTTACCATTGTAATCATTCCTTAGTATACAATCCAGTGCCATTAAGTACATCCATAATCTTGTTCACTCATCATCACTGTCCATTTCCAGAACATTTCATTATTCTTAACAGCAAGTTCTATATCCATTCAACACTAACATCCCATTTCCCTTTCCCTAACCCCCCATAACTTCTATTCTGATTGCTGCCTATGAATTTGCCTATTCTACTTACCTCATAAATGGAGTAAATACAATATTTTTCCTTTTGTGTCTGGCTTTTTTCACTTAAATATGTTTTCAAGGTTCATCTGTATATCAAAATTTAATTCAGAATTTCATTCCTTTTTATGGCTGAATAATATTCATTGTATGACAAAACATTTTTGTTTATTCATTTATCTGTTGATAGACATTTGGGTTGTTTCTATGGTTTGGTTATTTTGAATAATGCTGCTGTGAACGTTGGTATAAAAATGTCCATTTGAAGCCTAAAGTGGTGGTGCACATCTGTAATCCCAGCTACTTGAGAGAGAGGCAGGAGGATTGAGAGTTCTGGACCAGCCCAGGATAAGTTACTTATCTCAAAAACAAAGTACAAAATATGGGCTCAATTGTCATGAAGGCTATCAGGAGGCAAGATTTGGGCGACATCAGTGCTAAGTACTCATAGACTAGAGTTAGGGAGTTTTGCCTTTGGAAGAGGTTTGCAAGGAACTGGTAGAGAGTCCATGCTAGGGGAGGGGAATTTGGGATGTGGAGGTAGAATGTTAATGTTAACTAGTTTTCTACAAAGCGAGAGGGTGTGGCTTAAGTGGTAGAACACTTGCCTATCAGGCTCAACGCCGTAGATTCAAATCCCAGAAATCCCCTCACTCCCTACCCACACACACACACACAAATGACTATTTAGGTCCCTACTTTCTTTTGGTATATACTAAGGAGTAAAATTGACAGATTCTGTGGTAATCTATGGTTTAACTTTTTCAGAAAGTGCCAAACCATTTTTTCATACCAACTATACAATTTTATAGTCCTATCAGCAGTGCACAGGATTCCAGTTTCTCCATGTCCTTACCAAGTTATTTTCTGTTTACATTTTTTAAATAATAGCCATCTTAGTAAGCGTGGAGTGGTACTGCATTGGGGATTTTGATGTGTGTTTCCTTCTCAACTGGTAATGTTGAGCATCTCTACATGTATTGGTCACATGTATATCTTCTTTGAAGAAATATCTATTCAAGTCCATCTTTCCATTTTTTAGTTGAATTGTTTAGTTTATTGTTGGGTTGTAAGAGTTCTTTATATATTGTGGATGTTAAATCCTTGTCAGATATGTGACTTAAAAAACATTTTCTCTTATCCTGTGGGTTGTCTTTTCATTCTCTTGAAAGTGTTCTTTGATCCACAAAGTTTTTTTAATTTTATCTTTTTTCTGTGCTGCTTATTAGCATACATTAATAATATATTGCAGTAATTCCATAGATGCATACAGTGTACTTTGAATATATTCCCATAGCCTCTCTCCAATATCCCCTTTTTTAAAACAGTCTGCAAAAGTTTTTAATGGTGTGAAATCCAGGTTTTCTTGTAGCTTGTGCTTTTGGTGTCACATCCAAGAAATCCTTGCCAAATCTAATATCATGATGCTTTTTCCCAATGTTTTTTTCTAAGAGTGTTATAGGTTTTTTTTTTTCCCCTTAGTGCTGGGGAATTGAACCCAAGGCCTCAAGAATGGTAGGCAAGCACTCTACCACTGAGCTACACCCCCCAGCCCTGTAGTTGTAACACTTTCATTTATATCTTCTATTTTGAGTTAATTTTTATATGGTATAAGGTAAGCATCCAATTTCATTCTTTTGAATTGGATGTACAGTTGGATGTACAACACCATTTGTTGGAAAGATTGTCCTTTCCCATTTAATGGTCTTGCCATCTTTGTCAAAAATAAAAGGTTTTACATTTTTTTCCATTTATCTATATGCCTGTACTCATACTAGTATCACACTGTTTTTTACCTTTTTTGTTTTTTTACTACATGTTGTTTTGTTACTTTGCAGTAAATTTTGAAATTAGAATGTGTGAGATATGTGAGTCCTCTAGCTTTGGTTCTTTTTCTAGATTGTTTTGGCTATGCAGGAACCCTTTAAGATTCAGTATAACTTTTACATGGATTTTTCTGTTACTGCAAGAAATGTCATTGGAATTTTCATAGGGATTATATTGAAATATCGGTTACTTGGAGTATAATTGCCATACTAACAATTTTAAATCCACCTGTCCATAAAAACATGATTTTTTCCCATTTATCTAGATCTTTTCTCCAAGATTTTTTTAGTTTCTTTATTTTATTATTTTTTATTATTGTATAAATAATACAATAATATTATTTTTTATTATTTTTATTATTATTTTATTTTATATTATTTTTATTATTTTATTATTATTATTTTATTTTTTTTATTAGTTTTTATTATTTTTATTATTGTATATTCAGTTGCACATTTCCATACATGATATAATGAAGTTTGCTCTACCCCCTCTATTACTTTTTCTTATCCTCCTCCTCTCTCTATTTTTCCCCTCTTACCTCCCTTGTAGACTCCCTTTTCCTTTTGTTTATTTGATTATTTTGTTTCCCTTGACTTCCACAAATGAGAGAAAATACGTGGTATTTGTCTTTGTGGAGCTAGCTTGTTTCACTTACCATAATGTTCTCCAGTTCCATCCATTTTCCAGCAAATGACAAAATTCTATTATGCATTGTGTATATATACCAATTTTTCTTATATCCCTTCATCCATTGATGGGCACACAGGCTGATTCCATAATTTGGCTATTGTTGGGTATACAGGTATCTTTGTAGTAGGCTTTCTTTGGGTATATACTCAGAAGTGGTATGGCTGGAGTTCTGTTTTTAATCTTTTGAAGAACCTCCATGCTGTTCTTCATAGTAGCTGGATTAATTTACATTCCCAGAAACAGTGAATAAGGGTTTCCCCTAACCCCTATATCTTTGGCATCATTTGTTACTTGTTTTCTTAATGACAGCCATTCTGACTGGGGTGAGATGGAATCTCAAGGTATGTATTTGCTTTTTGGTTTTTGTTGAGTTTCTTGGCAGCACAAAAGTTTGAACTCAGCAAGTATTCTACCATTTGAACTATGTTCCCAAGCCCTTTTTGATTTAGTTATTTTTTTAATAGGGTCTTGTATTTTTTTCCCTGTTGTGTACTGTGATCCTCATATTTATACCTTGCATGTAGATG